CGGGAGGTGTCCAGAGTTCGGTGTCTTCATTTCTTTGCGGGGGACACGATCCTTGGGAAACTAGCCCTGAACAGCTCCGCTCTAAAAAATCGGGGCGTTTTTGAACGATCCCAACACCGTTCGGAGACCGTTCGCTCGCCTGGATGCGGAAATGGATTTAAAATGGTGCTGCAGTCCGGGCGGTAGCATGCGCCACCCAGCACGCAAAAACTCAACTAGGCTAGACTTGACTTAGGTAAAGCACGTGAAACCCTCACACTTCCCATAATACCCCGGAGGGATCACTGGTGGCGCTGGCATTTCCGACGACATTTTTTGAGCCTGAAGTTATTTGCCCTCCGGTCAAAGCGCGAACATTTCCAAAATGATTAGTATCTTCGGGAACGGAAACTACTCTTCAAATCCCTTCCTCGTCGATTTACATCATCACTTGCAGTGAGGCGCTAAGCAGCCGGTTGTCCTCCTTGATCATTAATTATAAAAAAGCGGGCCCCACCAATAGAGAACTCTCATTCATCCGTCATCGCCAGCGTCGCACTCTGGGAACTCGCGGGCCAGTAGCGGAGCGCTTAGGAATTTTGCTTCCCACTGATTTCCACAATGCATAGCATGGCCTTACCCCGTTTTGAGGCGCCACGAGATTTGAAGTAAGTCTATCGTAGCCGGCAAGATGCAGTTAAATACTGAGCAAGAAAGAGCACATTCTTAACGCGATACAAAATTAGCTTTACGAAAGAATTGAGCAGTCCTGCGTTAATACACGGTACATGCAGACACGGGGATAGCTGCGACATGCCAAGGCGAGGTTGTTGGTCCTCGGCATCGCATTCACGCACCATGGGGTGCGTGAACCAAAGCGCCAGGACAAATTAATCCACCGAAAATGTGAGGGAGAGGAGGAGGTGAAAGTCCGTGGGGACTTCATAAGGCCAAGCTGTGATTCGAATGATTAGTGGGAGGACCTAAAGCTAGCTGCTTCTGTCTCCACCGCACTCGTCGAACGCGTTCAAATGCGAGAGACAAACTCCGGACGCCAGTGTTCCGCGTTCTAACACATTCGACGAGCGCAGTGGAGACAAAAGTAGCTAGCTTTATGTCTGCCCACTAATCATTTTAACCAGTGCTAGTGCCTTCTCACATCCCCCACGCGCGCTTCCGTCTCCCCCTCTTCCTCGGGTTCTTAGCGCTTGGGCATCTGACTTGGCAAAGGTGGACCGGCAGACAACGATTTAGCAGAGCCGTTTATTGGGAGAGTTTGGCCACTCATTGTTTGAAATTGACTAGCATCTCGGGGCCAACCCCAGGCCGTGAAAAAGCCCTTAGCGGTGGTTGTGAGCTATAAAAGTGCGACTCGACTAATTTAAGCCGCTTTAGCGTCGCTAGAGTAAAAAGTTGTAACTCTTGGGAAAACTTCGCGCGTGTGAGATTTTCATCACGTCCATATTCAACCGTAGAATAAACAAACGCGCGTTCCAAACCAGAGCAGACTGCGTAATGGTGGTCATTGCTGCTGCGACATTGAACGCTTATATTTTACACTTTAAATGTCGTTTCCAATATTGTGACGTCGAGGTCTGCTGATTGATCGACGCTGTGTCGGACTTTTAGTTTACGCTCTAACCAAGGGGAAAATATTTGGCGTTGGCGTCGGCGTTCACTCCGCCCAATGGTCAAACTCTCCCAACATAGGGCTCTGCGGACGAGAGGGGTGCCACGTGACCGGCGCCCCGCTGTGGCCAGACACCAAAGCACACTTCTCCCGATTGCACAAGTGTATTTCGGGTCCTCGACGCTGCAAAAGCTGTGCGCTGAGGTCCAGGTTCCCCGAAAAATGTTTCTTTAAGTTTTTGTGCTACCAGATCCTTTCGCTCGGAATCTGCGACCGGGCACTCAATGGCTCCGTCGTTGAACTGCCATGCTTTGTGAGTATAAAGGAGGCGATGGCAGTATCTCCCATTCAGGGTATTTGAATGCGGCTCACAGATTGGACCCGATTATTGCGTGAGCACTCCATTTGGGCTTGTTACAATCGATAGCTCGAGAAGAATTCGGGTAGTGACACGTGTCCAATCGCGGCAATGACAATGTTAGCCGGACTCTAACAATGTCTGGAACTCAGGGCGTGTCCTGTACTTTGCAAACCTCAGCGGGTGGCTACGATCAGCATTGGCTGCGAGTTGAAGGTGTGAACTTAAAGCTCCTGCATGTTTTAAAAGTAGCGCAAGGCGAGTCAACAAAAAATGCCCGTGCAACGTGCGGCCCTTGGGAAGATCATGGCAGCACTGCGCAGCACAGCACTGAGCTAGATTTCAGACGCTATGTTCTTCTCAGAAGTGGCGCGCGGCACGTGTCTCGAACATTTCCACAACAACGAAGGGTGCCACATTTCCCAGAATAGAGGGGCTTTAAATGAACCCTGTTCGTTTTTTGTTTTTGTTTTTTTTATTTTATTCAGTGACGTTTATTGCGCGTGGAGAGAAAGGAACGCTTGTTTCAAGGACATAAACTCAGGGATTCCTTTGAAGTCAATGTCTAAGCGGTATTCCCGCGAATCGCAAAAATTGTTGCACCGCCCCTTTAAGATGGCAATGAAATATATGGGCTCCGTGCAAAAGGAGAATAAAGACAAGCTGTTCATTTCCACAAGTGAAAGCAAGAGCCTTATTAGCGACGTGCGCCAATCAAAAGCGTGGCTGTGGTTGAAGTTCGCAATTGACCAAACCATAGCTTCCTCGACACAGATAGAGGGGGGGGGGGGGGGGTAGCTCTGATGCCAGGTCCAACATTTGTATACCTCAATTGCAAATCACTCTGGGCACCTGTCGTCCCACCATCTTAGTCATATATTACGCACCTCCGAGAGGGTGGGACACTTTCTTCGATAATTGGACTCGCAGACTTCTTCAACACCAGTCGCTCTTTGAAATTCATTTTACAGTCGCTTTTGTACTTGATGTGCAGACAAGTTTTCTGGTGAACGGATGTCGATCGACCATGCAAAATCGCCACCGCACTGCACGCAACGATCCTGTAAGTTTTCAGCCTGAACAGTTTCTGCACGCTTACTTAAATCGGCAGAGTTTTGATCCTTCATATCTTCGGTGTTGCTGATAAAGAATTAACAAGTTTCACGCTGGCAGAGTTACTTTTTTATGTATATTCAGCCAGCCTGGCAGTCAAGGAGCTATTAAGACTAGTGCAGAGTGCCTTTGCCGTAGCAGCAGAACTTAAAAACGCAGCGCTAATTGGAAGCGCCTAGAATCAAACAGACCTGGTAGGTAAAAAATCAATATTTTTATTTCTGGGGTTATACTCCAAATACAAATTTTTCCGTCTATAAAGGTGATGCCTATTAAGATTGAAAATACTTAATTTCATGGAGGCAAAAACAAACTCCCTGCTCTCGCCCCCCAGTTACTTCGCTCATTTACTGCATTTGTGAGCCTCCTTTAGAACCACTGCCTTCGAAGTAGAATAGGCATTACGCAGAAGAAGTATGCCATTGAAGAAAACTTAACACGTTGAGCCTAAATTTTACAAACACTTAACATTCCTTGGGAATGAAAACGGGTTTAACCTATTTAAATTGTTTGAACTTTTAGGGAAAAAAGTTACTGGTCCAGAATAACTTAAACAGTTACAATTAACTATTACTTTAAATATTATATGGCAGAATAAGGAAAGTTCACTTGTGTTGAAAAGATTATTACCAGAAGAAACCGCAAAAAGGCAAGCTAGCTGGCGAATTTTCAATATCTTGAAAGCATGATACTTCAGAACGAAAAAAGTGGGCTTCAAAAGTTTTCCTGCCTTATTTTGGCCGATTTGCCACGCACATGCACGTATGCAATTAGAGTTAACCTGCGTTTTCTATCAATAGAAAAGAGTACGCCAGTAAAGGTTTATTATAGCAATCCCTAAAATATTGTTAGGTTTTTCATTTAGAAGGGGACGTCCATAATCAAACTAGACTAGATCAGAAGTGTGCCATGTGCCGTCTGCACGCGCTTCGTTTTCGTTTTCCGTGCTTCCCGGCACGGATCTCAGAATGTCGCTAAATTATTTCCTCTGAAGACTTTTTTTTTGGAGGGATGCGTCTTTTGATGAGCGTGTTTTTCTGCCACACAACCTCACCCCATTGCCGTGGTATTAGACAGTCCGCTTGTGCTTGTTTGTTTCGAAAATGTTAATTTCGAGTGAAGTCCTTTCAGCATGCAGATTCTTGACAGAAATTTCGAGCTCATTTGCGCATACTCTAAAGTTCAGGACGACATCACAGTCTGCGCGCAGCTCCAAAGTGCAGCACGTTCGCGCTTTCGGAAGATTGATGTGCAGAGTACTGATACCGGGGGGTCAGGTGGTTACCTCATTATCACCCCTTGCGACATGTCGGAGAACGAATAATATGCTGGTACAGAACATGTCGGTGCCAAAGTTCACAGCACATGTGCGCATTTTGAGGAGCTAACGCCGACAATTATATGCACAATCATTTTCTAATACAGAAGACATCCTAATTTTTTCTGAATGCTTTCAACCGCAGAACTGCGCAACGTGTCCGAAAACCACTTTAGCCTAGCACACACACGCTTTCGTAACCTAGGCTCGCGGAATACTCATGTGGCAATCGGCAAGCATAGGTTCTGAGATGAAACATGGTGAAGGAAGCAGGTCTGGTTGGTGGCAGTCCAGTTACAGCCACGCCACCCCAGGTGCTGACACTCGCGCAAAGAATGTCTTTGCTCGTAAAATTATGTCTTGGGACGTCAGGACCAATCCAAGGAATCCCACTTTTGACACAAAATGTTGCCAGATCAGCAGTGTGCCACGTGTCGTCTGCACGGGCTTCGTCTATGTCTTCCGTGGTTCCCGGTACGCCCCTCAGCAAGCCGCTACAATATTGTTTTGACACCCCTTATTAAGTGGAAGACGTTCAAACAAATATAAGCGACATCAATATGACGGCAACAGGAAACAATTTATGCAAGCGGAGGCAACCATGGAGGGAAGAAATATATTTATATATTTGTAAATATATAAACAGGGAGGTTGTGAACAACAGAAAATAATTATGTACATAACACGAAGATCGAAAAACAAAACACCGGGAGTTGGTTCCGGCTTGTGAAAATTCCAACAAAATATATCCAACAAAGCGCCTTCAATGACGTCCAAGAAGAACAATCCTCTTCAACAGTCCACATTTAAAGTTTGAGAGCCTAAAAAACAAGGATACACAGTGGAAAGCCTCTAATCATTCTTGCAGTAAGATTTACATGTAAGGCGAAATATTTTTTCGAATTATGTTTGTTTCAGCACATTGTTTTCCTCTGGGGTGCGCATACAAACAGCGGTTCTTTACAGACACCTTAGTTGTCGCCATTACGCTCTTTGTTGTCACCTACACTTTTTCATTTGCCAAATTTAAGAGCTACAGCTGAGTAATAGATGTCAAATTGTGAATACAATAACTATATAATAATGAAGTCAAAGTGGGACGATGAATGTCTCCGTTATTTCTCCATTTAAATACTTCAATTCAAGGTCACATCGACACAAACTATATTAACCTATTTCTGTAATACGTACTTTCCCTGAAGACCTATTATAAACTATATATTAAAATCAGTTTGCAAGGTGGTGACCCTTCAGACGGTCCGTTTCTTTAATAATTTTGTCCTACGCTGGCACTACAGGTGTCTACAGCACTCGATAGGTATTTATTCTGGCGGTCCTCTAGAATTTTATAGAAAAAAAAACGGAAGGGCCAACAAAAAACAAATGGATCTTTGGGTGATGATGTTGTCGTTCTTCACTCCTCGAAGTTCAGGCCGGGTGAAAGACAAGAACACATGGCGGGTCTTGGAACATCGGACTCTGCAAAACAAAAAACAAATGGTTGCTCGAAAATGCAATCACCATGCTAAGCAAAGATTTCAGTTTTGTGACCAGCCAGGCCAGAAGGAAACGTATTCTATTTTAAACTGATCAAAGCACACATTTTCAACTAAGGTAAAACTCTTCATTGGAGGGCTACTTCATTGGGCACTATTGAAATACCACTCAATCTAAACGTAATCGAAGTGCGGTGGCTTGCTCATTCCTATGACGCCGCACGCAAGACGGACTCCTGACCTCGAAGAGTATCTTTTTCGCACCGGGGATACCCGATACGATCTGAGAGGCTTGGTTGCCCCCGGCGGAAAGCGAGAAACGACCTGGGACCAGCGGGCGGAGCGGACGTAATTTTCTCGCGCTCCTAAATTTACGATAAAAGCAATCAGTTTAATAAATTTGCATATTTGTGGACACAGCATTCAATTTTCACGGAAGTGTGCCTTTCCCAGCTATTGTTGCTTATCAAGGAAACAAAACAGAGAATATTTCACAGCACACTTGGTAGCGTGTAGCGAAGCGTCTGCAAAAATGGATATGTAAGCTTACACATATCAGGAGTTATGCTAACAATTCCATGACTTGTATTTAATTAGAGACCTTTAAATGCCTCAATTCTTATTTAACCAAAACATTGCCGGCTCATAAAATTAGCAACAGCCAATGTTTCTTGTCGGAAAACGTTAAACGTTTATTTGTCAGATATGAGTGGTAAAACTGGCGGCGGTGTTCTGATTTCTGCCGTTGATTACAATAAAATAAATTTTTATTTTCCGGAGAACATATTACAGACAATAGCTTCTGGCCCACTAAAGCAGCATTCTGCTTGTATGTGGGATCAGGCACCCACTTAAAATGCGATCAAAGCGGTAAAGCAATAACAAAAAATTCACAACTGGGCCACCAAAAGGAGTAAAACCATCACAACATAACAGAGTTGACAAGAAAACTTGCAGAAATATATGACAAAAATGAACATTTAATATCGGAGAATACGTTTCATACATGGCAGGGGAATAAAATGTGACATATATAAATAAAAAGCATGTCACATATAAAATATCGTCTAAATTGATACGGCTATCAAGATACGGTTTGCAGGTATGGCATCATTTCTTTAGGTCTTGTTTTACTAGTTTATTGGCCGTTACAATCATAAATGTCTCCGGAAGCTTATTAAACCAACAAGGAAAACAATATTTGTTACTCTTCCAGAAAGGGTTAATTTTTCTTTCGGAATTGCGAACCTTTCAGCGCGTCTCAAATCTCTGTTTAAATTTGATTATTAAGGTATCCCTGAAATAATTATTTGTAATTGCAACATATTTGAAAAAAAAATACCAAAGCTTTTGTGTGTGGTTTTTTTTTTTCCAATATGTTATGCAGTTCCATATGCAATGTTATATATTCTGTGCCTTACTATCCTATCTGTCGTTCTTGTTTTCGATTGGAAGCAATGACCATAGAGCGTCATGACCAGGGTGTAAGATAGACAGGTGGGGAAACGAGAGCCAAATGAGCGACCGGATTGTGTCCCCTTCGGTTTTTTCTTTTTCTGTGGCGCCATCTATGTGGAGCACCGCGAACTCTCACTCCGGGTGGGCGACCGGTGGCGACCGGCTAAACTGACGGAGATGGTTTCTCGTGAATTTTCAATGGAGGACTGTCGTGCTCTCGGTTTATTTTGCGCACTCTCCCATAAAGTTTCATGCAAATCCGATTCCGATGTTTTTCTTCTTATTGCAGCGCCATCTGCGCAAATCGGGGGTACCCGCCAGCAGACGAGTACACAATCCTGTCACGGCGCTACGGTAGGCTTCTATGGGCCGTTTCCCCTATCTGTCTATCTTACACCCTGGTCATGACATAGCACAATGACGACTCTACTAGAGCCTTAAATACCAGCAGCCTTATCTTCAGACACTTCTTATTTTATATAAATGCGCAGAAATCCAACGCAGATTTTCCGTTTTAAATTCGACTTGTTTGTTCGATAGCACGTGCTCGTCCACATATATACCAAGATATTTGACGGAATCATCGTAGGGTAAAGGTTGGCATTTGTAATTAGTGGACTGCGTAGAGTTTAAAGATATGTTGGGTGACAGTACATCACGTTTATGGTGATTTTCAAAACAAATGAGTTGTTATTGTAACATTCACAAAAATAAAATTTGCTGCAAACCATTTCATATAAGATAGGCTTTTCGAAACGCTAAAATTACATCGTTATATTTATAGTGTGTTAACTGTTGTGCCATGTCATCTGCGTTTTGAAGTATACTGGACTGCAGTGGAACTAATCCCCACTCATTAAAATAGTGAGCTGGGCGTCGATAAACCTTTTAAACCCCACAAATTGCCACCTTTTAATCGACTGATTGTTATATTATTCGGTCGCGTACATTTCCATCCATAATACTTTTTAATTACCCTTGTTGAATGTATGACAAACGGCGCATTATAAAATGTCATTTCGAATCAGCCTCAAAGTGTAGCTGTGAATGGTTTAAATACATTCACACTCACAGATTATTACTTTAGCTGCATGAGGCAAAGAGGATCGTTGAGATCCCCCCGCAAGAGCAATCTCTCTTGATTGTTCACAATAGTATCCGCTGCGCCAAACGGACACTTCGACGGCGTTGAGGTGGCTGGGACGCGTTTAACTTTCTGCAATTCTCCTAAGCTACAAACCTCGCCCCTACAATTTACTTTAGGCTGTATTTTCATCTAAAGTTTGCACATCGTAAAGGTGTACTCGTCCACGTCTGCGCGGTGAAAGCGTTGAATGTTTACTTCCTTTTAGTTCGTCAACATTTTACCGATGAACCGGTTAAAAAATGACCACGATTAAAGCATTAATCGATGAATCGGTAAGTTAATCGATCAACTGCCCAGCTTTTATAAATATTGAATAAATTTGGCCCCAATGTGCTACCTTGTGGTACACTAAATGGAACTCAAATTGTGCTACATACATTCTTCGTAATTGTACCCATTTGATGTCTTTCTGTAAAATAACTTGAAGGATTTGAGGATACGGTTTCCTAAACCCCACTCTTTCTAGATAATGGTACCGAAACCTTAGATAGGTCTATGAACAGAACCAGGGATCCTTGTTTGTGTCGAGTATTTTTTGTACAGAGTCCGCGAAATCTTCCAAAAGGGAAATCGTGCTTTTCTGCTGACGACATCCATATTGCGTACAGCTTATAAAAAAAATGCCTCACACAAATTATTCGGATTTGTTTGTACCCATCTTTCAATAATATGAGCCTTCATTGGTAAGGTAAATATGGGTCTGTAGCGGTCAATTTGCTGTTGTTTCCCCTTCTTATAAAAGGGCCTTTCGCGGAGTCTCAGAACCTTTTGGAATATTGCCTGTTTGCTAAATGTCATTGAATATTTTCAGCGAAGTTTTCTTTAACTTATCAAAATTATAGGGGACATCTTAATTTTAATGTTATCGATTCCGGGTGATTTAGTTATTGTCATTGGCTGTGTGGTATTCAAAATGTCGTTTTCACTCGCGCCTGGTAGGTACGCGGAATTCGCGAAGCTCAATGTTGGAAGTGATGTTTAGTGAGCTGATTGCCGGTTCATAACTTTTGAGAGCATTTACGGGTTCCATAAAAATTTGGTTGAAGACCCACCTGCAAATTGTGTTTTAACCAGTGAGAAAATCCTCCTCGCTACCCTTCCCGTTCCCCTCTTTTTCATTGCTATTTTGACGGCGGGGGGACTCCTTTTGTTGCAGCATCTAGGGGCTGGATAAGCCGAGAAATTATCCCGGCTCATCCAGCCCTACTATGCAGCAAAACAAATAGCCCCCCCCCCCCCCCCCCCCGCCGGCCATGCAGTTAAGAGCGGAAGAGGGGAAATGGAAAGGTTTGCGAGAAGGATATTCACCCTGGTTCAAATATATTTTGTAGGTAGTCGTTTAAAAAATATGACAAGGCCCTGTATGAGTGGTGTCGTCAAAATTATTTTAGATCGTATCATCAATAGTGTTTTTAGATTTCCGACCAATTCATTGATTAACGAGATCCCAGGTTTTTGTGGGGTTTCTCAACGAGGCTGTAAACTGGTGTACACAGTGTTTTCGTTTTGCTAAACGTATTTTTGCTGTGACTTCATTACGAATTTCGCGGAACAATTTTTTTTTTAAAGGTTATCTCCTGGATTTTGTTGACATCTGCTCCAAGGCATGTTGTTTCAGCAACATAGTGATAGAATTTCGTCCTTAATCCAAATATTCTCGGGCCTTCTTTGTCTCAACTTTGCCTTCTTGGTTGAATCTGAATAAATATCTTAAAACATCTCAACAACCTTAAAGTAGGCTGTTAAGTGATCAGATTCAAAAAAGGAATTCCATTCAAGCTTCTGCATGAAACAATCAATCATTTCGCTACCTAATATAATCGGCCATTCTCTACTGTCGAGTTTTCCGCTACCTCCTCTCCTAGAACTAAAAGTAGGGTAATGTAATAGTTGGCAGCCTTCTGTTTGACTACTCCAGATAGTGTATATAAATTTCTGACCCTAGCATTTTTCCGGGTATAATCATGAATTATATTTTCAAATTCGAAAGAAGAAAGAGTATTAAGGTAACACTTCACTCCACGTTTTTTTCTCATTGGAAACGTAAATATCGAAGCCACCTGCCAGATCTAAATTTTTATTGTGATGAAATATGGGAAATAGGTTAACCAATTCCTCACAGGGGGCATTTGCATTTTGACTTGGTGGCCTGTAAATAGCACGTGGCACGTAAAAGAAATCCATCTTATGAACAATTGCCACGTAAATTTCTGCATGTTGTAATGAAGCCGCTACTCTATCCGACAAGCAGTTGTTGATACACAATATGATTCAACCCCCGTCCACCTTCTCTGCATAAGCAGTATGAGTAAAGCGTAGTAATATAAATGACGAGCAAGCTGCCTCGTCTGCGTTAACTTCTGTCAAAACAAGTATGTTCCAAGACTGTAGCCGACCAGCTAAAAGCACTGTTCACTGATCAAAATGCTTGTGAATGCTTCTCACGTATATATATTGTAAACTCAACTCTGTATTGCTATAGCTCCCTTCTCTCATTGACTTGATTGTAAAACTATATTCAGTGTACTCACAAGACTTCGTAATTACCCGATCTTGGTTTGATCACTTTCACTCTCGGTCTGAATAGCCACCATCCTTCTGCCTGACAAAAATCTTTCCATATTTCGTACATGTTAACGTTCACGCTTCTTCCCTCCTGAATGACTTAGTTGCCTAAAGTAAATTCTTGACTGCTCGGGTTCGTTGATGTAGATAATCTCACCCTTTAGAGTTACACGCTTCCTTGACCAAAGGTCTCTTGTGCGTCTTTCGGCGAACCTCACAAGAATAGGTGCAAGTTTGTCTTAATTAGCTTTTAGCTTATGAGCAACCTCGATGGTTTTAGTTTCCAGCTGCGCCAGGTCAACCTTAGATGCACGGTTGTTAAGTGTGGCCAGCAAGATTTCATTGGATATTTTATTTATGTCGTGAATTAGAACGTTTCGTCGCCTGAAAGACTGTTCAGCGTTGTCTACAGCCCTTCTCCGCTCCCAGATTTCTATATCCCTTTCAATTGGTTGTTTCGGTTTATTTCCTTTGTGCTCAAGGACTTCAATTATTTTCGCCTGGCTGTTCAGTATCGAAATTAGCTCCTCGTGTCTTGTTGACTGTGCATTTATGAATTCCTGTCCATTCTATTGTTTCCTTTGGTTTTCTAGTTTTAAGATCATTGCGTGACCTTTTGCAATCTGCGAGTCCTTAAGTTTTCGCATTCTCTGTGAAGACGTAGTCGGTGCGCTGGAGGTAGTATAAGTTTGCATTTGTTCAAATGACCGGAAATACACTTGCCCGGTTTGCTGTTTCCGGCCCACAAGAAAACGACCCTCGCTTCTGACCTTCACGATGTTATCCACAGAGTCAAATATATTTTTTCCAAATGTTTCAGTATTACTGCTTCGATACAGCAATCGCACTAATAAAACGTAGAAGTGACTTCACCTTCCTTCCCTGGGCCTTTACGTAACCAAATAGAACGATCAATCATACTATTAGGGTGATGGACTGTGCATGGAGTCCGTCAAGGGAGCTTTAACCCTTAGAAAAATTATCAGTGAGTTTCAATTGAGTTTATATTCAATTGAATGACTTTCAATTGAAATTCGTTTCATATTTTTGAAAGGATTTCTTGTCCATTGGTGGTCTGCTGGTCTCGACTATCATTCTTCGCTTTACTTTCTTAACGTAGAAATGTATTCTAAGGGAAGCTAACTCACATTTTCGTTCTTCCTTGGCGTGCGTGGCACGTCACGTGGCCTGTCGTCCGTGCTGTCAGGTCATATGACTGACAGGGCAAACAACGTTATTGTATCTGGTAACGCTGGCTGTCAAGTCATGCTGTAACATGACATCACGTCAAGTCACGTGGACACATTGCGTGAGATCAGGTCACGTGACGTAGTGGCGTCATCATAGCACAGTGTCCAGTGAGCAACGTCATTCACACCATTACTTGACTCTGTGACGTCACGTGATTATTCAGTGTTCCTTCGCAAAATTGCATTAAAACTCATCGTTTCTCATACTTACTTAAATACAGCAGTCAATATTTTTATTATGACTTAATGTGATTCCCCGATGCACGCGAACTGCATCTTCAGGGGGGTATGCTAGTGTGAATATATTTCCCATTACCTATATGGGCGATACCACTATAGAGTTTGATTTCATAAATATGCGATTGTGCCTATTTGGATCATACTTATAAAAAAATTAGTTCGCTGAAGAACAGTACCAATTCAATAAACTACTGTTCAACATATTAAATCCTGTCTCGACAGTGGTTACATGTGACACTCAGCAAAGCTCTTGAACTATAAAACAGACGTGATTTTCGAAGAACCCTTCAGCGTATAGCACCTTGCCACTGATATACGAAGTGTGATGAAAAAAAATTTGAAAGCAGTTTTGCACCCCCAAAAAAAGAGGGCAGCATATCGTGGGGTCACAATGAGCGCGCGGTTTTTGAAGACAGAGACCTTCATGTGCCAATATACCTAAGGACGTTGTTCTGTGAACCTTAAGAGCGACACTACGCTCGTCTATGTGACCACGTGCATGAGCTCATTCGTGATTTCAGCATGTAGTGGGAACCAGATCGAGGAGCAAACATTAATTGGACGTCAAACTCGGCCCATCTTGAATAAAGACCCTTATTGCCAAAAAGCAGTGAGTCGTGCGATGTGTTTTCAGTTTCCCTCACGCTTCAAACACGGCAGAATACCATGAGAAAAAGAAGAGAGGTCAGGGAAAATCTCCCTACCTACCTTCGTCTTCAAGTGATGTTACAGAGGCAACTTTTGTGAGTGTACCGGGGCGTAGCCTTCTGTGTACTGATAATGCCCGCCCAATCGCCTGTTGCCAGCTATCAGAAAGATGCGTCGCTCCCCCGCGCAAGATATAAAACATGAACGAAAAGGACAAGGTGATTAAGCCTCTCTGTTGCGTTCTTGGTGCTGTTTTCGATGTTTGACGTTTTAGCTGTGGGTCGCACTTAGGCAATCAATTCTTTTTTACCGCGCTTTTTTTCGCGTTTTAGGCAGACTCGCAAGCGAAGGTGCGGAGGCTGTTATTTTCCAAGACCCCAATCAACAGCTGGAATCATGAAAAGAGACTGAGGCTCATATTGAAAAAATACTCTGTCCCAGATTTTACCTTCTGCTAATCAAGAGTATGCAGTAGGTTCTTTTTGGTGACGAACATTAAGGAAGGCCTCTGTAGACAGGCCTTCTTCAATGTCCGTTTAAGTGAAGACTCGGCATTCTGCTGAGGTTCCGCTCGAAACTCAGCGTTCGGGCCTTCCTGTCATCAAAGATGGATCAGCTTATGCACCCTTCCACGGCCTCTTTCAGTGCTGCTTGACTGGCTGACTTTACCCAGCTCTCTCTCTCTCTCTCTCTCTTTCATGCACTTCGAGCTAGTGACGGGTGCCTGATAACAGGCACAGTACGTCATTACGAAACGTGAGACTCGCCAGAGCTACCACCTCCCACACTGCTTTGAGGATTTTGTAGCGCTCGTTACCCCAGAGGACTCTGGCCGTTGCAATTCCTCTGCACTGTCTGCTATATGCCTAGTCCTTTGCCTCAGCAATAAAAACTTTCAGTGTTCGCTGTTTCGACATCGTACATGTTTACCAACTCGTCCGTCTGGCCCGTAATTTTCTTTGGGTCGTACCTACCGTCCGGAACATATATTCACTTTTGGTAGCTATACATGCGGCTGCTCACCCGCTATGAAATATCCGTTGCGAAAGTATTGGAATCACGTACGTTCCGATAGCAGAAGTGGACAGCGGACAAGCATCGTCTTCAATTTATGGGGAGGTGGCGCACCTGGCGGTAATTATGTGAAGCTGGCGCAACTGCGCCAAAGCATGGGGAATCCAGAAATAGGGCAGGAATTGTCAGTATAATGGAGGCTATGACTGGGGTTCAAGCTTCTCATGAGCGAGCAAGGCATGAGCACGCATGATCCACGAGCGGCGCGACTATCAGCAGCTTTGACTCGGCGGTCCTCGAATTGGCCCGCCCCTTTAGGAGTAGTGTAGATATGTAAATAAATAATTTTGACAGAAACCAAGGCGCCGACGACTCCAGCGTTAAGTACGACTGCCGATGACAGTCATTTTGCCCTCGGTAAAAGGCGGTAAAAGTACCTTTTTACATTCTGTATCTTTCACTGTAGAGCAAAAATAGGCAACCCTTTGCATCAGTCAGTCGAAGGTATTCAAAAGGTGGAACGCGTGAGTATAGTCAACTATGATTTCGTTATTGTCAATAGACGGCTGCGTTTAGTTGCCTACCCCTAGTGAAAATGTTATTTATTTCAGACATTTCTCGGCCCAATAAACGCATATGATCAAATAAGATCTTATAAGAACATATAAGAACAGTATAAAAATATTTAAAAAAATGTAAGATGGTAAGAGAAACTCCTTATATGTTTTTTATATCTTCGAATATGCTCTTATAACGTTCCTTATGAACTTATTTCTTATATGAACTTGTTTGATCATAACCGCTTATTGGACCAAGAAATTTCTTATAGAAATACGAGTTTTCATTAGAGAACTTAAAAATCATGTAGACGCGTTGCTTACCATCGAGGAAATTAGGGTGACGGTGGTGAGATCGTCGCTCCCATGCGTCTCAAGGCCAGTATGGCGTTGATGATTTTCTAAAAACAAAGCATCATGCAAAACATTTATTTCAAGTTTAACATGATACTACTATAAAGCACTGAAAGGGAACACCAACATTACCAGTATCTTCCGTTCATATTACTTTCTGTTTGCTGTATTAAAGGCATTTGATAGGAATCTACGTGATATATATTTCTGCAAAATCTAGACACGTCGATCAAGAAAATAAAACTCGATTTTTCGGTCCGCAAAACTAAAATACGCCTTGCAGAAAGCTGGACCTTTGTGAGAACATGACGCCAGCGGTGGAGACAAAATGCAAAAGTTTGAAAACATGACGTTACCTGAATTAAAAGATACGGAAGAAAAACAAAATGCTTTTATTGGCCCAGCCTAATATTCATGAAGACAAGAATGGCATAGTAGGCGCCTGTGACATGTATTTCCGTGAGAAAATACTTGTCACTAAGAGAAAAAGTAATGTCGGCTATATTACTAAGTTTTTTTTTCGTTTTTCTTTTTTTTAGTTAGTGCTAAATCCGTTCATAGCGCGCTATCTTTACTCTATCAATTTTAGTCTTAGGTCGGCGTCGGCTCAATGACGCATTTTTTTTCGTATAATTTGATGCATTAAATGTCACATTCTCAAACTATACATTAGGTGCAATCGTGTTAAAATATAATTTTATTATTTCCCGTTGCACAGTGATGACTGGTAATATTTTGGTGAAAATACAATGCAACAGTAAATTGGACGTCACGAATGTTTATACAAGAGGTCAGCCTGCCATATAAATTTGGCGAAACAGATTCAATGCTATAATTATGATTTTTTATCAGAAAAAACACAACTGTAGCCTGGGGATTTGTGGGAGTAGTGATATCTCGACCTAAAACCACGAAATTGTGTACGCTTCATAGTAACGACACTTCCACCATTTTGGTGCTTGTAATCACTGTTGACATTTATCTTTAAGTTGTATCTGACATCACTGAAAACGCTTTTCTGCTCTCGAGCAATGTCAAATCAGTCCGCAAGAGAGCGAATCGGTATCATCCGAGTTTCGTGGTGTCGTATCCAAACCTCAGAAAGTCGCATTTTCGAGTCGTATCTACCGGCACTAGCCAACGAAATGGTGGCGTCCTAAAACTGATTGGGGATTGGGAATGCAGCGCCCATACTCTAAGCTTAACCTACTTAGTGGGTCTACCTCTACCAAACAAAGTTAAAATTCTCACATAAATAGAAGCTCGCATATTGGCGCTCACTGAACACAGAGTTTTGAAGCTCGAACCTGCACGTGCTCCGAGGAGATGTGGTCTGATAACACGTGTCATAGACAAGCCAGCTTTTGTACAGTTACATCTTAAACTGCCGGTTCTTATTTGTTTTGAACATACCTGGTCTCTCTTATTGGTAGAAGGGGAATTTGGTTAGAGTGGTATGATTGCTTGTTTGTAGGCTGTAACTTAATCAGGCAATAGTAAATACACGAAAGCATGCACGCAACGCCCATTCATATCAAAGCTATAGGCTGTGTTTACACGGATGGGACCGTAGCGCGTCGAATCGAGATTTGAGTAATTTGATATGTATAAATAGGTATAACAGGAAGAAGTCCAGAGACAATGCGCGTGTGATTGGACCCTGCTCGATTCAATGGGCTACGATCGCATTCATGTAAATCTAGCCGTAGAATGATTATGGTAGAACTTTAAGCACTTCAAAACGGTGCCGCGTTTGTGCACACGTTTGGCCGACTACTCCACGGTAACAACAAGATCTTTCTTTAAAAGGCCCCATAATGTAAGATCCGAGAGGTGTGCGAACATTGGTTCGAATAGAATACGGCTGCGTCAGCTATAACCTTCACAGCGCAAAGATAACCGGCGGTATTCGTCATATTTCTTAAACCTGGAAATGCTGTAAACGAATCTTCCTTGAGATTTGCTCCGAAATTAAGAAAGTTCCTACAACATTGTCTTCAATTTGGGCTTTAGGGCTTCCTCCTGTTCCTCCAGCAGTTTTCTTGCTAGTCTGTGTTGGGTTAAGGAACTGAATAAAGGCTCTCTTATCTCTATTGTCTGGTTGTGTTGAGGCGGGTCTATGAATTATCCCTGGAAAGAAAGTGATTGTTACAGGGACAAAAGGAAAACGAATGTTATTTATGAAGTCTGTTGCCTAGTCAACTTCAGTGGTGCTTGAGATTTTGGGTTCGTGAAGGCCGTTGGCCTCAGTCTTGAGGTTCTTCATAATTACGGTATTTTGGCTCTCTTAACGGTGGGGAAGCTACAAACGATGCGTCTCTATTCGATCTGAAACAATATTGGCACACCTCTACAAAAAGATCAAGGAGTCTCAACCCGTGCGATCATCTCAAAATTATACTCAGTAAAAGAAGAAAGCAGAACGTACTTGCCACCTCCTACGGATGACGAAGCGTTTTAGCTTCTTCTTGTCGAGTTGTTGGTTATCTGCCCTCTTATCTTTCTGCAAACAAAAGTTTGATAACGAGCGTATGTGAATACAGCTGAAATCTGTCTTTTGAATGCGGTCACGAGTACCTTTTCTACTTTACAGGTTGTTTGCTTTTAATTCGAACACATATTTTTTTTCAAAAATAGTTATACATTTACTATGTATTTAACAGACTCGGCGTACATTATATGACGTCAAATACTACTCCTATTAGAATATAAAACAATTTTTTAATGTGAAAAGGTACTGTTTTTCATTTTTTAGATATATGTCAATAAAATTTCACGTTCGTTTCTCCCGCTTCAAAAATTATGATCAAAAAGAGTGTAGCAAGCTCTGCCACAACGACGCTTAGAAGAGTGACGTCGTCGTTTCAATCATGTTGTCACTTTCTCCAAAATAATAATCGTTCAATTTTCAACGAAAATTGAACGATTATTATTAAAAAAAAAGAATAAACATTCCCTTTTTTGCAAATCCCTTAAATTCGTCTGACCACTAATAACAATTGTTGTCAATAGTCAAAGTACAACATAATTCCCAAAATAAATCATTTAAAGGTTGACTAACAGATTCTATGTAATTTGTCACATCAGGGCGACGATGATCCCCTTATTTAATGCCCGCCAAGCATGATAAAAACATGGTGAAGACGGCCCTCTTCTAACGTTTGAATGGCGCGATTTTGTTTGCGATTTCGCAGTTGCGACGTCGAGCGCCGCAGCTTCCAGCAGGCTTTTTTGCCCACAGCAGCGACATCGCAAATGCGAAATCCAAAGTAAAATCGCATCATGTGAATCAGGCTTAACCCTCACCCTCTTTTCGAAAACTAAATGGGTTCGATATAAAATTTAACAGCCTCTAGATTAACGGCAAGTGAAAGTAAGCCATAACGTTGCGGTAACTGATAACAGGCGTTGAATTAAAAACCTATACCACTCAAACTACTTGATGAAAGCCGTGAATGCACTAAATAGATATAAAATTATTCTGGGAATCAATACGCAAGCAATAAAAACACCTGATTATCTATTTACTTGTCTGAACTTTCAAATTAGTGTTCAGGAGATTTCGAAGAAAATGTTTCGAGTGAGCCTAACTTGGGAAACGAAACGAGGATTCACACCGTATAATCTTGTACAACGACCCTCGGTTACTGAAGACAATATGGGATATCACGTTTTAAGTTTAAGGACGTCGATTAGCTGTCATATATTATTAATAAAATCTAATATCTCAAAATCTAATTTCTAGCTAGATCAAAATATTAATTTTATTTCAATTCACTGCATTCAAATTTTGTTTCATCCAGATGCATTTCAAGTTACCGCAGCAAAAACTCATAATTGTAGTGGATATTTCCCGGCCATCTGAAAATTTAACACATCCCCAAGTGTGTTAAGTAATTCAGCCTATTAGTAAATTTCATATATCAATAAAACATCAAAAACAACCCCGTGCAAAAAAATGTGGTCATTAGAGAACATCTACAGTAAAATAGCACAGACGCTCTGCAAAAGCTCCTTGTGGCAATGATACTTTATTAAGATATTAGGGCAGCCGTATAAAACATTTTATGGTATCTGATATTCCACATATACAATACCTAGGCAAAACTGAAAAAAGTTTCTTGGGAAACTTGTGAAAACATTCTGAAAGCCCGCTTATCTCGTCAAACGATACCGGCAAAATGTACCTGTAATGTATGCAAACAAGGCACGAATAAAAACATTAAACCAACATTGAAGAAGTACATTAGGAAGTGCTTAAGGGACGGTTTTGGGGAGCATTAGAGAGTTCGAGAATTCCAAGAAAGATATAAAATCTAAATTTATTCAAATTTTTAAGAATTCAAAAATTACAATCAAACTGCATACATCCAACAGAACCTAATGAAGTATTACACACTTGTTACTACCTCGATATGCACCTAATAATATATAGTAACACATTAGGAACATAGAAATACACATACCCGAAGCCATATGTGGTTAAGGCACTCAGAAGCCGTTGGACGTTCGCTGCAAATAAGAAATATTCAGTCACGTTTTAGACGCCTAGTCCATGTCCGTTTTTATTACGAATATTTAATGTCCTTCCTTTTAAGAAAGCCCGCACGAGAACATTAAGGCGTTATGTTGAGGGTTATTGACAGTTTCAGTTGACTCGTCAAATCACTTGGACATTCTTTGATTCACGATATAAATATTACCCTAACATATACGACTAAGTTAAAAAGTTGGTACAGGTTACTTGCAGAAGTATTTCTGAATTCAACCGTTCGCTAAACGTCACTGAAACACGCAAAGAAGTCTTAAGCCTGGGTCACACAGCTCATACATTATACAAAAGACAGTCTGCAAATGCGAGTCACCGCAACGTCCGTGCTTCAAATGCCACGTGCCAAGTTTTCTTCTTTAACTCATTGCCGTGCGGCACTTGAAGCACGGATCTCGCGTTGACTAGCATTCGAAACTGTAGGCAGACTGTACGATCGTTATGCAGTGTGAGGCCGGATCTAACCAGTGACGACACAGCTAGTAGAAAAGAGTCAGTAGACACTGTTTGAGGCCTTTCTTGTTTAACGGGCATGTGTACCGGCCTGGAGAACGCGTTCGCTGCCATGTACTGGCCGCTCGAGCACGATCGAATCCCGCGAAACGCACAAGTGTTATGGCATCGCCTCCTCTGTACTCGCAAAGCCTGGAAGTTCGACAAGGGAGCCATGGAGTGGCCGGTCACAGATTTGTAGCGCGAGAATCCGGTAGCGCAGAGCGTCTAATACCCCATTCATACGACCGTAAAGGTACCTTTAGCTAAGGGACCTTTATTCTCTGCGGCCAGTGAATCAACGATCTTCCGCGCGAGGCGTGTGCTCGCGACCCAAAAGCACGGGCTGATTCGACGATAGCAAAAGGACCTATGTTAAAGGTACCTTTATGTAGACCGTGTGAATTGGGTATAAGAGCCATTTCTCGGGGACCCTGAAGCTCCTCTATCCTGGCGAAACTGTCGCTATTCATTGTTGTGAAAATGCTCCAGACATGAGCCGCGCGACACTTCTGGGTAGAACATGGCGTCTGAAATCTAACTCAGTGCTGTGCTGCGATGCCATGATCTTTCCAAGGGCTGCACGTTGCACGTGCCTCTTGCATCGACGCACCTTGCGCTACCTTTGAAACATGAAGGTACTTAAGGAGGACCTGGATGTTAGCGTACAGCTTTTGCAGAGCCGAGGACCCGAAATACACTTGTTCACTCGGGAGAAGTGTGTTTTGGCCTCTCGCCACAGCGGGGAGCCAGTCACGTGGTTCTCCTCTTATGCATTCTCTGCCGCTCCACCTTTTTTTTTTCATTTCGGTGGCCTCTTCTCGTGGAGATCTGCCGGGCTTTGTCAGTATATAGGAGGCTACGGTTATGCAAGGTAGGAAGCCCGCGCTAGAGGCGGGACAAGTGAAAAACCTTCTCGTAGCGTTCATCCTCTATGTGGCTTCATACTTCGTCTCAGCTTAGCCTAGACTAGTGTTTGTCGCGCCTGCTAAAAGCGCGAGCTAGTTGCTTTGGGTCATAGCCTCCTCTATACTGACAAAGCCTGGCAAATCGCCACGAGACGCGGCCGCCGAAATTAAAAAGGTAGGGCGTAACACAACGGATGAGATGAGAGCCAGGTGACGGGCGCCCCCCTGCGGCGAGGCGCCGAAACACACTTCTCCCGAGTGGTGGAATGTCCGCTCGTGCTCCTCGCGTTCCTCACGCTACCGCTTCTTTCCTCGTCGGGTTTGAAAACCATGTTTTGGGTCCTCGCCGCTGAAAAACCTGCGCGCTGAGTACCAGGTTCACGAGAAATACTCTCTGCTACCAGATCCTCGCGTTCCAAACCTGCGACAGGGCACTCTTTGGCTCCGTCGTCGAACTGCCAGGCTTTCTGCGTACAGAGGAGGCTATGTTTGGGTGAAGCCTCGGCGGCTGCACGAGCGCTCGTGCAGCGACTGCTTCAGTCAAAAGAATAGGTCTAGCCGTTCGCGCTTGCACAGATTTCGCAGCTAGTCCACGCTAAGGTGAGACGAAGTACAGGGTGTCACAAAGGAAACTTTACACGGTCTTTTTTACCGCAAAAATAAACTAGGCATCGCTGAACGCTCATTCTCCGCCCAAAAGGTAAAGCTAGAGGTCACAACCAGATGGCAGAGTTTCAGCCCGATCCGATAACTTATTCAAAAGTTATAACTGATTTTCTAAAAATTTCAGCGGGAAAATAGCGGCCGACGGAGTTTTCAAACACATGGGGCTCTATGGCACCAGAAACCGAAAACGGGCAAAAATGGGCTCCATTTTCCAATTGAAATTTTCAGAAAATCACTTATAACTTTTGATTAAGTTATCGGATCGGGCTGAAACTTTGGCATCTGGTTGTGACCTCTAGCTCTACCTTTGGGCAAAGGGTGAGCGCTCGGCGATGCCTAGTTTGTTTTTTCGGTAAAATAAATCGTGTAAATTTTCTTTTCTGACACGCTGTATAGCGCATAAGATCGTGTTTACGGGTCGAGACGCCAACGCGATTGGTAATGAACTGCATTTTCCACACGCAACTATTTCATATTTCGCTGCTCCAACTGCTTTTTCATCCTTAATAGTGATAGTATTCAATGCACTTTGTAGTTCACAGCGTCACTCAGTGTGCTGGTGAGCAGAGAAAGGAGTTGCAGCGATGCTCGGCCAATGCTCCAGGCACCGTCCCGGCAGCGCTAAGACAAGTTAACGAAAAAACTACATACAAACAAACATGCTCACACAGAATCTACGGAAATATATGTACGCAAGCAAGTCAGCATAAGCAAAGAGAGCGGAAAGAAGGGGTAGTAGATTACGCTAATATTCGGCTGCTAGTCTTACAGAGCCCCTGAAAGCCGTCTCTCTTAAGAAGTATTGTTTTATTTAATTGAAGGGGAGTGCTCTCCAAAGGGCCGCTGCTCTCATCAAGCACGATCCCCTGTGGCGTAGAGTACGTGCATACTAAAGAGCGACGTCCCTGCCAGTAAGAATTTAATTCGAGGTGCAAAATCACATCAGTCGCACTATCACCCAGAATTCTGCAGAAAAATCTAACCGAAGCAGTAATTCTGCGGTGTTGCAGAACCCGCCACTTAAAGGGGACCTGAAAAAAAAAACGTTTGTTTTTAACAGTCTTGTTGGGACACGCGTGCCAAAAACATTTTACGCAAAAAAAAAAAGTTTCTTTAGAGCGATATTGACGGCGAGATATTTATTTGCAATTCTACGCGAAAGGTCCTTGACGTCACGGAATGGTCATTCACTCAAGGAGAGGGTAATTCGCTTTTTCCACCTAACGTGACGGTGAAGCCAATCCACCTCTCCTCCGTGCCCCCGAAATGCCGAGAAAGAAAACAAGTGGAAAGGTGGTGACTACCTACTAAATCTCATCTCGCGCCGTCAATATTACTCTAATATTATACTTTTTAGTAAAATATTTTACACGCGTGTCCCAACCAGCCTGCTTAGAGAAAATGTTTTTTAATGCTTTTTTAAGAGCGTTGCAGGAGTCCGGTGGGTTTTGTGTGTGTGTGCGTGTGATATTGCACAAGCAATACTCACTCTTTTTCCTTGACTAGGAGCACTGCGATGAAGTCCTTTGCGTCGTCGGAAATCTTTTCAAAGCTCTCGTCGTCGAAATCATACTCTGCTCTCGTGACGTTCGCCATGGTTTCCAGTTCGCTGTTGCCCATAAAAGGCGAAAGCCCAGAAAGCCTACAAAACAAAGCAGAAATGTACAGCGAGGAACACAGCATTTACCGATGAGAGTGCGTTTATTCAACTTACAAAAATGTTATTAGAATATCGATTTTCCTGACTACTGTCAAAAGCGTGCGCCGGTATACGTTTAGTTCATTTGAATAATTAGTAAATACAGGTACAAATTTGCGTTAGGTAACCCACAGGACGGTTGCTACATCAAGTTTACGAACTCCATACTCGTGGCAAAGCGTATGATAGCGTGTCAGTTTTATTAAGCCAAGTGTTGCTGTCGGACCTGAGCGAAACTTTGCATAAATTAAGCATTTGCAATATAATTTTGAATTAGACTCTTTATAGCGCAAAGACTGAAGCAAGACATCAAGGAACACAGCCTAAACATGGTTCCTTTTTAAACAAATGCAGCAGTTCATCTGAAAATAACAAGACAAAATCATTTGGATACACGCCAATAGACAGTTAACGGAAATCAAAGCAAAAAAAAATATATTAAGTTTAGGAACGTATGAAAGCCATCTTTATTTTGATGCAACTCAACTCACAACCTCGTGCATGGTCGTCTCTATTTTATCATTTTCTCTAGAGTATCGAACGCATCTACTGTGTGTGTCAGCGCCGTTAAACATTCAATAGGTGGCGCAAATCATCGCCAAATTAAAAGGGTTTCACGCGGTATACATCCAACGATCTTCCCAACCCGTTAAGGAGGTTGGTAAGAGCAGAGAACCGCTCACTAAGTCATTTCTTGTTCCTTCCACTTTAGAGTGGCAGAAACTAGTGCCGTCGCGTGTGGCGGTGCTTTGAAACACTGGCTAGAGGCGGCGCAAACTACCGACCGATTCAAAAGGTTTTTGCACCACATACATTCATTGATTCATCCAACCAGACAAGAACGCGAGAAAGGGCACGAGCACCACCCAACGGATCCTTTTCTTTCTTTCCCTTCTTTTTTGAGGTGTCGGACACTAGCGCCCCAGACGCGCAATTGACACCCTCCGAAACGTTAGGATTGGCGGTCAAAGTGCCACGTGTGATTCTTATGTCTGACATTCAGTAAAAGAGGACCGAAAGTGCGCGGTCGGAAGAGTCACGCTGACCGTACGCGTAACTCAAATGAACGATAGTCAGGTACAGCTTCAGAAACACAAGGAGTGGCCAATTATGTTGACGTTTCTCGCTTCCAGGTTCGTTTTTTAATGTTCCTTTTGGCTAATGCTGGAATCTGATTGGTTGCGCGGAGGTAATGAGATGGCAGGGAGCCGCCACGCACTGCGTCTCTTAAGCCGCCGGAGAATACAGGCTTGCATTACACGTACAGGACATAGGTGATCACCCCGACGCTCCACATGTCCGTCTGGTATCCGACCATCTCGAAGTTCACCACCTCTGGAGCCACGAACTCCGGGGTGCCGAAGAGAACCTGCAGTTTCTTGTCCGGTTCGTAGAAGCGCGCCAGGCCAAAGTCGATGAGCTTGATGCGGTTGCCGGTGCGCGACGTGCACAGGACGTTTTCTGGCTAAGAAACAAAGACAAGAAAAGAAGCAGACTAACGCGAGCGCATTTTACAAGACACAACAGTAAATGTCTCGAATTTCGCATTGTAGTTGAGTTTGCTATAAAATTTAATATGACCCATTCACTTCAGGTTTTATAACATGACGTACTAGTAGTGATAATCTCCCGATATATATGTACTGCTTGGCGATACTTGTATATAATTACAGGATTACAGGAGTAGTATCAGTATCCAAATCTAACTACGTCTGCACAACTCTAAAGCAACAAGAAACCATCAAACGCTACCACCAAAATATCAGTTAAACAACATGTGTGATACTATATTTCTGTTTGCAGTATCAAATTAGAATAGCCCACCTTATACCACTCCTACTCCCGCGTTTTATGTAATTTGATGTATTCATGCATTGCAATATGTTATGCTGCATCTGTGTATCCTTGCCTTTTTGTGCGATTCACCGAACACTGATCAAAAGTTTTGTGAAAACGACGTTTCGCACTGAAGCAACACAGACATTTCCTTGGTCACTGCCAAGGGGCCCAGTTATTGAGGGACACATAGCACTTAGGAAAATTTAATTTCTCCGTTATTTTTTGTTCTAATATTTAATCCGCTAAAAATGAAGAGTTAGTTGTAATCTCAGAAACTTTATCGGATTCATCGAAACATATAAGTCTGTAAATTTTGAAAATATTTGGAACACGGGGTTCGTAATCATGGTGCAAAATAACCCTCCATAGAAACTACAAGTTTCAACAAAATTTACTAATTTAATCAATTTCAAATACGTTCAAAATGAACCTATAAGTATCATACGTTTACTTCACTTGCTAAAACCTAATTAATTTAATTGCTCTATAACTCATTACACTGGCCTCCCAGCAATCACAAAGGCACCACCAATCGTTTTCCTCCGATATTAGCATTTTTTTTGCAGAAAACGTTCATTCAATGTTTAATAAAACACCCGGTATAGGCTTCTGTCCATAAGGCTTATTTTCCCTGTCACTTGATGCCATGTGATGTGCGTCATCTTACTGAGTTTCTTCACTTTCTATATTATGCTTCCTGGCAAAAAAAAAATATAACCACACTTTTAAAACTTTTAACTTTTAAAAAAGGAACAGTATTTCAAAGGTATAAAATCAAGGATTGCGTTGTCACGCGCAGCAACATAGGAAGAAGCAACCTACAAACCATTCCCATTTCGGTCACTAGGCACATTGTCAGGGCATCAAAGTGGTGACACAGAGGTGCAATCTAGTAAAGAGGAGAATAACCCCATGGTGTTTTCCCGCCCACCTTCTTTTCTATATTCCCCATACATCCTTCCATTACCTTCGCCCCCAACCGCACTGAATACGATCCTGTGTATAAAAACTAAATAATGATAATTATGTTTTATCGAGTCGTTTCAAAAAGCATCTGAAACAAAGCGCATAAACGTTTGAAAATATTAATTTAATCACGCAAATACCTCATGGGAAGTGGAGGTTTGATGCTTTATTAAGATTGATAAAATACAGTTCATAAGAGCAAAACTTACGAAAAACTAAAATACACCACTAGAAAGCCGAGTCATGCTGAGAAAAAAAAGAGGCAGTTGCAGGTTTTTTTTCGGTTACCATCTAAAGCCACCCACAACGCCCCATACTTTCCACGAAGTAGGGAATGTCCAAATAATGAAACCTGGATCTTCGGACCTCGACGCCAAGACAAACAGAATGAAAATTTGCCGATAGATGGATACCCCAGCCGAGTTGTTGTAACAAGAATAAGTATTTTGCTCATTCCGCAACGAGCTTTCGACAAGTTCACATGGAATTGACACAAGAAGGTAGGAGAAGGTCACTCACTTTCATATCGAGGTGAAGCACATTCTTGGAGTGCATATAATCGATGCCTTCACAAATTTGCCTCACGAAAATCGCGCAGGCTTTCTCGGTGAGGACAAAGTCATCGTCGATCACTCTCTCAAAGAGTTCACCACCTTCAATGCTGAAATTGAAAAGAAAAACACATGTTTTTAAATAAAGTTAAAGCACATATTTTAAGCTAGTAAGCCTAAAAGTGGGATTAAAAATGACTCGAATCTTTTCCAAACACATGTTTATCCTAAATAAAACTAAGCGTTTACATATTCAGGGGAAATATACAGGTAATAGAGCACAGATAAATGACACTACATGGCGCCAAATTTAATGATGAACAACTATGGCAAGAAAAGTGGCATAGCAAAACCCTTTAAAGGAACCGACGCAATGAGAACGATGTGAAGTTCCTACAAACTGTGCTGGGTAAATCAGCAGAAGAGAATAAAATGAGAAAGTTTAAAGTCGCTGAAAAAAATATTTCGAAAGGTCACTCAGAAAGCGGTTTATGTTGTTCCTGCTGGGCTTGAAGCGGCGGAGTAAGAACAATACTGATATTTTGATATAATATTCAGATTTTTTCAGAAGTCGGCACTAAGAGAGGTCTTTCATGTTTACTAGATAGAGAGATGAGTCAAATTATCGGCAGACAAAAGCTGATAATATTGTCGAGTCACCAGTTTTACTTCTTACTCTATCAACAGGATTGTTGTTACAGCAGCACGTCACAGTTTCAGTGGTAGCGAAAACATTTCGAAATCATTCTAGGGGAAAAAAGGACTACAACATTTAAGATCCTGTTAAAATTCCGAACGGTAGCCTTAGTGTTAATGTTCCGTTCTAAACGCTCTTTATGAAACTTGAAAATGATCTTCCTGGTTTACTTTGTTCAAGCATGTTTAGAAGCTCTTGCTTTTTGTTAAAAGTTCGTAGTTTCTCACCTATTGGTCACACGGCACAGTTGTATCCGTAAAAAAAAGCTTCTTCTAGAGATGAAGTGTTGTCCGAAAAACCACCTCAATATATACCACGAAACTTTTACCCACACAAAAGGAGGAACGAAACTTTTAAGCTTGATGTGACGTTCAAAGTCTAATCTCCCAAGACAAAACAAAATGACACCAAACGGACAAGCAGAACAAAAGTTCTCGTGTCGACGCCTTCTGTTGTGTAACTAACGTCACATCGCCTGGATTGCCGGGGAAGAGAGAGAAAGGAAGGGTGAGGGGCGAGGGTTAGGTGAACACACGTCAGTGATATTCGCTCTAGCCCTTAGCCGCCTGCCAGATTTGCTTATCTTTAGCCGCCTCCCCGATGTGATTAAGCAAATCTGGGAGGCAGGCCAAAGGCTAGCACGTGAACCACTGAGACGTCCCTATGCCTAAGGCCCCCTCTCCCCTCTCTCTTCCCTGTAAACCAGGCGATGTGACCTCCATAAAAGCGCTTCGATCAGAGAGCCGAAATCGACCTGCTGACTCACTCCCTAAGCCTTTCCAAAGACGCCTGTCTACGACTTCAAAGTTAGTGCTGTGTTTCTTTTTTCTTTTATATCGAAGTGTTCACACTGACTTACACTTGCTTTCAGGCAGAGTGTGTGTGGAAATCGTTGTTAAAGTTTCAGCCTATTTTACCTAGGGTAAACAAACATCGTTATATTCTTTACAATCAAGCATAACAGATTTGTTTAATTCATACCAGATGTGTTTTAAACATGGCAGATAGTTTGATCAATCCGTGAGTTCATTGAAAGCAATGTAGAGGAAAGAATGTCTACATTTAAAGCACTTTATTTGACAAATTTTTATTGTTGTAAATCTGTCCATATTAAGAAACACATCTTGATTTGTTTAGTTAGGGAAAATGCATTATTAGTTTTTCTGCGCGATTTTCTTTGCGTGCAATATTACTTTGTTTTATTGTTTTTTTGTAATTTTTTTTCTTTTGCGTAATGATTCGCTTGCAATACAACACCACGTAACTGACGAACGAAGTGGAAGGTAGATCGAAACCTCAGCCGTTTAATTTTCTCAGGAGGGCACCGCTTTTTGCTCGTGTTCAGCTTGCTTCAACCTTTCTTACTCGATAGTCATTTCATTAATTTTCGAATTAAAAACGCATAGAAAGCATCAAACAAGAGATGAATTGTAAATGAAACTTATTTGGGAATTTTCGGTACGGGAAAGGCTTGATATAAATCATCACTGTAAAACTGGCGTTATTTAAATTATGAATTTACTCACGATTTAAATCATCGAGGTTTCTTATTTTTCATCGTGCCTTTATTGTCTCACCATAGCATGAAAAGTAAAGAAGGTTATACTACGAGCTCTTTAGCACTGATCTCAATTTCACTGAAGGAATGATGGAGGAGTTGAATCACCAGATAATGCTATCCCCTCACACTTGTTGCTCTTGCCGCTGTCCACCTCAAGGTAAGAGAAAGTGTAAAAGTGTTAGCGCCTGTACCTGCAACATAGGAACTGAGCCTGATGAACTCTGTACATCTTTTATAGCTACACAGCTACCTGAACCTTTTTTATTGCATGTTTAATAGGTAAATATATCCTCATGTACAGCAGCTGATCCGGATGTTTTCTTTCGAGACATTTTCCTCTAAAACAACATATCTACAAAGACATTCTGGTTTCACTATGGAAACCAGTACAGTAATCAAGAAAATATGGCTTCTGAATTATTAATAAAATGGATAAATTTTTCCGCGCTCTTCCCGAAAACGTGTTAACCTCACTTAATATAGGAATTACTACCTTCATAAACGTTTGTATAAAACTTCAGCACGAGTGATAATTTCACTTTTGGCCAATAGAGTTGTAACTGTAAGGAAATCTGTCAATCTAGATATTTCGCAATAACACCTGTTGCTTTATTGTCACATTACAAGGATAACTGGACGTCCATCCACACTTAAATGAAAAATAATGACAACGATTCCGCAAAATGGTACAACTTCAACCCGAACCGTTATGTCTCATCGCGTTTCAGATTGACTCTATTCTGAACCAAATCCTGACGATCGTCTGAATCTACCGAAAACAGCAAACTCAAATCTTAGCATTTGTGGCAACGTATCCTCGAACTTTTTTTGCCTCATGAACAAAACAAAAAAAACTTTTAAAATACGTAAAAAAAAGAAAACCTCTAGCAAGCACACGAGTCAAACCCAATACCCCACGATCGTTATCAAGATGCCGCCGACGCGTGGCAGGGAGGAACATACGCGCCCCGGGTTTCGTCGCCCGACACCGCCTTGCCCAGCTATTCCGAGCCTTGGCCCGAGTCCTCCGGGCACTGGGTCGAGCTCTCTAGAGATCGCGGGGAGGAGGCCCCCTACTTTTTTGGCACCGGCTCCCGCGTCGCTGTTGAAGGTTAGGCCGTGTTTTATATTTCGTTTCGCCCGCGGCCCTCGGAGTTCTTTGTCTTCCCTCCCTGCCATGGTGGAGAGGATTGCAGACTGAGGGATCCAAACCGCGAGACAAGCAAGGCCGACGCGCTGAGGTGCAACCGTGCCTTCGCGTGTCGGCCCCTGGAGGAACCTCGCTTTCTCGCTTTTTGTTTGGAATGTATATTCGGAGCTGTTCGCGAAAGAATGCAGAACGGAGGTTGGATAGAACAAAAAGGGGAGGGGGGGATATGTCGTAACACTGTAAGTGATCGTTTGAACCCGTCACAAACATTCCTGCTGCAGCGGTACCTGCTGCGCAGGGCATAGGGATCTGGACTGTGCTACTTTCCTCGGATTCGCGAGTCTAAGCAACCAAGCTTTGTCCTAGCAGAAGAGGGAAGCGTGCGAAAGATGCGGAACGTAAGGTGATATTTACGGGGGCTGTTGAGTCGCGTTAAAATGCCAGCTATCAAGGAAAACTCTTTCTGACGGTAATATTGTCTGACGAGAGTAACCAGTGTAAAAATATACCCATCTTCTTAAACGTTTTATTTGGAAGGTTGCGTTCATTCTATATTGTTGTCGATGTTCCAAATTGTTCTACATTGTCGATGCTCTATATTGTTGTCGACGCATTGCCTTAATTAACTTTTACCCCGAGATTAGTTTTTAGGATTTCGAGTGTTATTCATACGCGATTTCATTTCAAATCGAGCAAGTAAAAAGAGTCATGACTCAAAAGCCATTGAAAAGGATATAGAAAAACTTTGAGCGCGTTGGAAGGGCAGTAGTACGCTGATCTGCACTACTGCACAGTAGTGCACATTGGAAGCGCAGTAGTGCGCTAATGTGCCTGTTGCACTCGTGCAAGAGGCACAAGGTTAAGGTAACAAAACGCGGATGATAAGAGACAAAAAAACAGCTCTGGCATGTTATCGCCCCGGTAGCCTTGTTCCTCATACACGAATGGTAGCTTTAGCGCTCCACCGTGATGCTTATGAACTCCAAGACTCGTTTTATTATTGACTGATCTAATGGTTTTTTATGACGCTTGACAAGCCTCAAATCGGAACCATAAGTTTATTTTCAATAATAATTATATTAACATTTTTTTAGTTAATTATCCGTGTCATCGTTACGATTAGTCCTCTATACTATGTCTCCCTGGTCGTGTAACCCGCACAAACTGCATTGGTGTAGTTTTCGTGTTTTTATTTTTTTAACAAATCTCTTAAACGTAGATGAAAAGCAAATTCTTCACTCGGACGAAAGTTAAAACCGTTTTTTCGTCCTAGTTTTGCTTCTCGAGCTTTTACTTTTAAATGTATGACATCTATCTCTATTAGATGTTTTTGACCATTCCACCAAAAAAATCAAGAAAATAAAAAGTGGCTTTTTTTAGAACATTTACATTGAAATTTGTAGTTTTACAGTTCCTCTTGTATTCAAAGGTACTTTTAGTTAAAATCGATCTATTTGACTATAAATATTTTGAACTTTTTAATAGGTATTCGTTGAAGCTTTTGATTGATATACCATTTATGTCGTAAAACTGAGCGTAAAAAAATTTATCACCCAAACCAGTTCAATTATCGTCAAAGGAATCCTGGTTGTGGATTTGGCTTGCCAAACTACCTAAAACAAAAACGCATTTATATCAACACTTCGCTATTTTATCGCAATCTAATAGACCACATAAAAGAGTTCTTTGTTGTGAAGAAGGTGTCTGACCCTGGCCAAATTCCCAAATACCTGACTTGTGACGATCGTTCAAATCCCCAAATCTGCCTTTGAGCTTTTAGAAGTAAAGAACTTGATAACTAAACATTTAGCACAAAAACAGTTTTCATTTTTGCAATAGTGAGAAATTTTTCACGGCGCATAGATATATTTGTGAAAGAGGCATTTGAGACATGACACTTTCTTTCTTTGCGATTTTAAATTAAGTCGCCCCCGTGTTAATCTTCGCATTAGCGAAAGTCACAATGCAGTCGAAGGCTATGCATATACGGGCATAGAGACACCTTCTAAAAGCGAAATATCACGAAGCATGCATTGCTCTTTGATTGATGTAGCGTCTGCATATACACGAGCAGAAAGTTAAGCGACGTGAAGTTGCCCCTTGGTGGACGCATAATTGGCCTCCGCAGCTCGCAGAGTCCGCTGAGCTCTGAGTTGAATTGAATCTAAGTATTTTGTTACTGTTTGCTCAAGATTTCCAGCCTGATAAGTACTTTATACCCTTTCGAGAGATTTCCTGAAATTTTATTTCCGCCGTCCATGGTAGCTGCTGTCTTCAGACATGCAATCCTCCAAGTGTTTAATGTACAGATATTGGCCGAAAGTGCCAACTGGCTGATCGCGCGGCCTAACCGCCCTCGAAGCTACCGGGTTCACAGAGAGCGCGCACAAGCGTTCAACAAATAAAACCTCAAACTATCTTCTAACTTAAAAAAACACAACTTTCAAAGGGTGCTTATTTTTGACCTTGTTAGAAATGAGTCCACAAAGTTAAGTGAAAGGACAACATCTAACCACAATAACAAAGGTCTTAGGAGATCTCCTCCCTGTTATTGCTATATTTGCCCTTGAATCTTCGTCCTGTAGGTAGTGTTTGATGACAACGCACCTGTTTTCTTTGGGTTGTGAGGTATTTACAATGTTATTTTATGAACTCATTATTTTAGCAGGGACACAAATCTTGGAGGGTGTAAAGGGGCGCAGTTCTCTCTGACCCCCAGCAGAAGAAATCGCAACGCTTGATGCGCGCATTGGACAAAGGATGCGTGAATTTTAAAACATGGAATTGATGCCCGCGACGTTGTGGACATGTAGTGTTCCCCCCACGCCGCTTGTTGCGTTATAACCTTGGAAAATTGGTATTGGTACATCTAAACACGCAACACCTTTTCTGATTTTGAGTTTTATTTCTTCACGAAGAAATTCTGTAGGCCTCGTAAACAGACAAGAGGGCGACACGCTTCCTGAGTTGAAAAGTACGCTCCGAGTACTTTATTCTGGTTCCCTCAAAACCCGCGAGGCGCCGACTAGGACAGCGGAAATCAAACATGTACATTAGAGAAATATCTTAAGGGAACCGACTTACAGTTCTAGGATGAGAATCATCTGTTTCTTAGAGTCGTCAAAGGCGTCGTAGAGTTGCAAAAGCCGAGGATGTTGAAGCATTCGCATGATCTCCACCTCCCGTTCCACGTCGGCGCGGTCATCGGGCCTTGACGTCTGGATGAACTTGGCCGCCAGAATGCGACCGGTCTTTTTTTCCTCGCATCTGTACACAGTGCCAAACTTGCCTCTGGGTGACGAAAAAAAAAAGAAACACTGTTTACAAACAAGTTTGCGTTTGGCGACACCGTATGTGGGCGCTGTGCGCGCTCAGAAACCAGATTCGTCCGAGGCGAAGCTTCTGTGCATGCGCAGTGCTGACAGCAGCGCCACCGCAGCGGAGTGACTTCAGAGAGTTGCGTTGGTCTATACTGCGCTTCTCGTTAAGTCCGACCGCGGCCGACTCCACCATCCAATCAAGCGGCGCATAAAAGTGCATCTTCGTGGCGCTCGTCGTCTTTGAGCGTTTCCTGTAACCGGTTAAACCATGTCATGCACATAAAATAAATGCGCAGTCGAGGACTGTAGACGCCCTGTGGACTCCCTGTAGACGCCCTGCAGACGCCTACAGTCCTCGGAGTATCAAAAGAGTCAAGAAGCGAATTCTCAAAAAAAAAAAAAAAACTTAGCAAGTAGCGGGACATTTGATTTTATTGCACATGTGGCAATGTGATGGATAAAAATAAGAAACAAAACAGGTCCCAAATTGAACCCTTTTGGTACTTTGATGCAGGGCACCATAATGGTAAAATATAGCTATATTTCAGTAATGGTACTACGCTGACGAACGTGGTAATATACAATGTAGATATGTGTGTAATTATCTGATTGAGCTACTTGTATAGCGCCAAATCAATTTATAATGTTGAATACTTTAGTAAAAATGTAATGGTAAAAGCGCGGTCCCAAGTTCAATGTAGCATACCGAGACCTATTGCATCAACTAACCTAAATATAAAACACCAAGCTGCTGTAATAAAAGCGACATTCTTCAGACGAGCGAATTCCTAAGACAGTTGAACTCTTTCAAAATCATTCAATGTACTATCACAATCAATGCGAGTGTGAACGGCGCTCCGCGTGGCCCGCGTTACTACCAGTGACCCCTGTCAAATTCTCCGTAGAAAATGTACAAATAAAGGTACTTTGCAGACAAGACTTCGCCTGCGACGATCGTTGTACCATTCTGCACTACCGGATCATCTGCTAGCAAAGAACGGTCGGCAGAGCTACGAAACAGTTGACTAAGTACCAAAAGCTTTTTTTTCTTTTTGCTCCATTTACGCTAGCAAAATTAGGTTATAAACATATTTGTGAGGGAAATGTTTGGCTATTTGCTTCGCGGACCTTATGCAAGGGCAAAGGGCCAAATGCGTTGTCGGACACAAAACGTTCGGGGGTAAAAGCATACACAATGTCCTTAGTTCTATAAAGACCCAACAACAATGCATGACGCAACATAAATCAACGGCGAACTTTTCTGCAAAGGTTCCGCGTCGCTCTGAATTATTTTCACCCTATAATCGTTTCACGAAGATGGTGGCGGCAACGTTCGGCACATGCAGACTACCTGTAAGTGCAGGGCGGCGCAAATAACGCAGGATGATACGTGTCTTTAAACGCAGCATGCATTCCATTTTTGCAGAGCATCCTACAGGGGGCAAATGTAGTGCTGAGGGTCACGCAGAGCGGTGTTGACACTCATATTGATCGTGATAGTACATGTACACTATTGACAGAGAAAAAAAAATGCTCGAAGTGTCTTATACAAGCGGACATATAAATCGCTGTTAGGAGCAGCATAAAAATATAAGCAGTTTTACACAACTATTTGCAAGTATAAGTACTGAAGCCACTCTAGACAGCTGTGCGGAGAAATAGCTGAACTCATTAACGTCACATTCGAAGTACTGAAGGAATAAAACTAGACTCCACGTTTTACTTTCAAATGACTAATTTAAATGTGCGACTTCAAAACACAAAATGTAATTTGATGAATGTACTTCATTTTTTTGTTCTTTTTTTTTTTTTTTTTTTGCAACAAAAGAAATATACTGTACGCAACCAAAGTGGTGTTCACTTTTTTCTGAGTACCGGGCAAGTTGCCCTTCGCCACAGGACTGATGATAGCGCTATCAGGACATTCCAATATTATCTTCCGAAAAATCGTATTTCTATCAAGCATAACTGAGGTTCACCGTAGGCAATCGTGTCGACTTCATTAAAGAATACTCCTACTTCCAAAATGTATTTACTCCCTACACCGTAGTCGGCTTAAATTTTCTCACTCTCTGGGCGATGTAATCAGAATTAGTAGTCTGTTTTTATGCACACGCGGCTGAGTATAGAGCTTTGCAAAAATCGCTCTCTGCACTCTACGATCTCTGTCTGCTGGGCTGCGGAACACCTTCTGAGCCTGAGGAAGCACGGTTGCTTTGCTGTGCGGTATACCTTACGCTGCTCACGCGTCCACAGCTCAGTGACTCAATATTTTTCGTTCGGGTGATAAGCGATGCATAGGTCTATAGCGACAGGAAGGCTCAATCCGGTGTCTCACATTTGCGAAATGTGCAACAAACAAACATGAACATCGCTCCTTCAACACACCGCGCCAATTTACTAGATGTGGAAGATTGCCAGCTTGATTAAGATGCGTCAGTCAAACTTAAAAAGACTCTTCGTCACCTCTCTCGCCAGAAAGAGCTACGTTGCGATTCCGTGTTTTGCAATCCTCATTTCATGAAGTGCATTGGTCGGTTGCTTGAAGCTGACATCTGCAATATTTCACTAACATCCGGTGGACGTAGCTTTGCCAACTTTTAATGGTGCAAATTACGACAACAACAAAAAATCTCAATAAAAAAAATTAATGGCTGTGGGATTTCGGCTAAGCTTTTCAGTCATGAAACTGAAACTTCGCACACCATCCGCTTCCGACGCGTTTATTTGTTCAAAACCACAGCTCGACAGAAACTCCAATCATTCTGGCTTACATTCACTGGTCTTGTTTCACGGCGGCACTAAAGCAAACGCAAATTGCAACCGTCTGCACGGTGTGCCAATATATATATATATATATATAGACACACCGTGCAGACGGTTGCAATTTGCGTTTGCTTATATATATATATATATATATATATATATATATATATATATATATATATACACTGTAGTTCTATGAAATTTGCGAAATACATCTAGCTCCTCACCTCACTTTTTTTTTTGTATAACCAAAGTTGTTTCTATCTTCATCTATGCTACTGATTCGGTCGCAATTATAATATAATAGCGAGATAACAAAACATGCAAATAGCCATGGCCTAAAAATAGATTTTGCCGTCGTTTCATCACTTTACGGAGAGTAAATAAGGCGCAAAATAGTAGATCGTTTGCAAAACTGCGCGTCACCAAGTAGCTGATTTGCCAATTAACCGAGCCCGCCATTGTTTAATCACGTACTCTTAAAATGCATTGGACACGAGGCCTCCGTCATTGTTCCGAGTGAACTAGGCCATAGCCTCCTCTGTACTCACAAAGCCTGGCAGTTCGACGACGGACCCATACACTGCCCGGTCGCAGATTTGGAGCGCGAGGATCTGGTAGCACAGAGCATCAAAGAACCATCTCTCGGGGACCCTGGACGTCAGCGCGACGCTTTTGCAGCAGCAAGAAACCGAAACACACTTGTTCGCTCAGGAGAAGTGTGTTTCGGCGTCTCGCCACAGCGTCGGCGCCAGTCACGTGACTCTCCTCTCATCCGTTGTCTGCCGCTCCACCTTTTCCATTTCGGCGGCCGCTTCTCGTGGTGATCTGCCAGGCTTTGTCAGTATACAGGAGGCTACGCCTCGGCTCAGCAGGTATTGGAAACGAATGCAGCGTCGACGTTCGACGAGTACTCGTATCCAATCACGTGCTTAGTGCCCAAGAAATGGCGACCATCAATGTTGCTCGATGGACTTGAAAAAGCTCTACTGTGGGGCCTTCTAGATGTACGCTGCTCGTACCTTCGATACGATCTGGAAGGGACTCAGCTCTTTTTTCCTTAACCACTGCGAGTTCAGAACGCAAGGGAAGCAGAGCAAACACATCACAAGCCGATAAGTACCCTGGTTCCCTCCCGTCCTGTTTTTTTCTTCTTTTATTTTTTAGTTCCGAAATTGCGAACTTTTGAACATACATAAACCGCTCCTTATATTTATGTTTATACTCCTTCAAGCGCCGTAAATCGGATCGCCGTACTACGTTGAGAAGACGGCGGGAAGCGCTGCGTATTAACAAAAAGGTATATTGTAATTGCTAAACACCTTAAAAACAATTAATAAGAGACTACTTGGTTACCGGCCAAGTTCTTCCTTCAGGTTGTACTCCGATTTGACATCCTTGTTTTTCTTTAAGGTCACGCTCCTAGGCTCGAAGCCTTGGTCCGACACTGCAAATAAAAAGGACACGAATCAAACGTAGCGTATCTTGACCTAACACCAAATATGCAAAAAACAAAAGTAGAACAAACGAGTAAATTTCATATATTAAGAATATTGTCTGAATTGTAGGATTAAGGGCAATTTCTCGAAGGAGGCTTTAGATTGTTGGCCGTTAGAGCTCGAATGTAATAATATTAATAATGACATTTATTTTCTTATTTCAATGATGGAGACCGAAAAACAACAGCCGCACGAAGCGGCTTCACAAGCTCTCGGCCCCCAATGGCATTCTACAGAAGTTAATACGCAAGAAACAGAGCTGTAAATCAGCATTATTGGACCACATAAGTACATAAAATCACGTAATTCATTCATCGTTACTTTATCTAAGATAACACCATTCGAGTAAAAAGTCTTAAGCAGTTTGGGTAATCTATACGATAAAATTTATTTTCCAGGATTTAGGCGATAACTGGCTGCATTCCAGTTTTTGGGGTTACGAAATTTTTATTCAAGGACGAGTTTGTTTAGACCAGTCACTTCTGTCATGTATCTGTTAATATTGAGCACTTCGTTTTTATATCTCGTAAAAGAAACTCGAAATATACATGTTATAGACGCTTATTATTTTATACATTCTGAACAGGTTTTTAGTATGCGAGTAAAAAGGCACATTAGCGATATTACGCAATATTCGTTTTTGAAGTATGTGTATTATCTTAAGACTTAGTGTCGTGGTAGTACGCAAAAACAGGATGACAGAAATTAAAATAAAAAAATAAATAGAGACGTTGGTACTGAGAACCAACTAAAGAGCGTTGTTTGTACGTTTAGACAGCAAAAAATCACTCATTATCAATGGGCGTTCTATGTCTCCGTTATTTATGAGTAATGTACGCAATGCAGCACTGCTGCTAGTTAGGGAGTCTTTAATGTGCATCACAAATAGTGCTAGACAAATGCACACCGGTACGATGTTCATTCGGATTGAAAAAGACAGCGGGAGGGGGGGTCGTTGAACTTGGGATTCAAGGGTTTTGCAGCGTGAGCTTTTACTCCATGCACTGGGAGCTGTGCTGCGCTAAGAAAGAACCTCATGGATGATTATCTTTCTTTAAGTTAATAAATTTCAAGGGACAAGCAAAGATGAATGTGGCGTATACGACACATGCAAAAAAAAAATATTGTGATCGGTGTCAACGTTGTTGCACAACGTTGGCAAAGGTAGCCTAGCTTTATAGTACTCCAGCCCCGCCATGCTGTGCGCGCACGTCTTGCGTCTAATTTCTATGCCCTATCTTGTGAACAAGATGCCAAACAAGGCCATGTGCTCACGCAATTGACTTGACCTGAGTTGGCGCACTCTAGAAACCACGTTAGCCTTGAACGCTTCACATAGCAAAGTTTTCACCAATTATGAAGTTCTTATATAGATGACCCAAACCTCATAGAAGAAACATGAGATTTCTTCTATGGAGTCGTGGGATCCCACCTTTTTCTGTTTACACACGAAGATAAGCTCTGACTCATCCCTGAGCCAGCGGTGACACTATACTTGATGCAGTTTAAATTCTGCGCTATTTCAGCGCTGCGTTACATGTGTAAACTGGCTTCTATGTGCATGGCTTGAAAATATATTGGGCAAACGCTGCTTCGCTACAAAGAAGACCAATCTCACCAACCAGTTTGACTACGCCACCACTGCCGCAATGCATTGAGGGAATTTTGGTCTTTCTGCACGGGCGACAACCTCACTGCAGCTCTGCGCGTGTATAGCACGAGACGGAACGGGCTCTCACGTGCACCGCCGCTTGCCTCCTGTGAACTAAAGTTATGACGCCATCACGCATGCGCCGAACGCTTGGTGAGATTGGTCTATCATCGGACACTGACAATACACAAAAAGTGATATCGAACGTTGGTCCATGGTAGCTCTTATGAATATTGAAATTGACTACGATGTTATATCTTACCGCAAGTCGTCCTTTTTGTGGGTGCATGAAATACGAAGAAGCAATTGTAAGTTTTTTTTTACGAAAAATAAATTGCAAAACTAGGTGCATAATTTGGGAAAATCATTTCGCGTGTTCTACTGATTAATTGAAATTCGTCCTTCATCCACAACCACGAACATACCGAGTCATTTAGACTAAAAATAAATAATTCATATTACATAACGATTTGGTTAGAAGTGACCAAAACCCAGCAGATCCAATCAAGACGACACTACCGATATCGCCGTCGGCAAAACTTCCGATGTCATTTAACTATTCTTAAATAAAATTAATCAATACCCAAGATAAATGTCTTTGTTTCAACTTTTCGTTAGTTTCAGTGATTATTTTAATGGTTCAGTAATTACCCCATTTGTCTCGCGTCAGTGAGCATATCACATCTCGTTCCTTATTCAGTAAGCAATCGCCCAAACCTGAGCTCTGTGGTGAACTCCTAAATTGCGTTTTAACTCTCGCTTTAATGCTAACGAGGATTGTGATTACAATGGGCCAGCAAAATGGGACGCCCTCCAAAGCGACGTCGGAAGTGTTCCGGATATGGGAGGAAGGAAATTTTCTTCCAGCTTTTTGCATTATTTCTTAAGAGAAATACATCAAATATCTAAGGGTGCGATTAACCCCAGTACTTCCAGTCCCCCCCCCCCCCCCCACAACCTCATTGTTTTACGATACTTATCAGCAGGCATCCTTACCAACACCCCCTCAACAATCAAAGCCCGTGCACTAAGATTTAGATTTCATCATTACAGTGAGATTGAGTACAATAAATAAATTGAAGTTGGACACGAGCGTTCTGTTAGTAGTTCGCTGGGCCTGTGTGTTTTAGGTGATAAGACATCCGTTCGTCTTACAAAAATGAAGTCGAGGTCGACTTACCTTCATCTGGATCTGTCTCGTCGACAAATATCATAGCAGTTTTCACCCTAGAAAGAAAACAAAATCGTATATTCTTAGCGTGCAACTGAAAAAATGCCCCGAAGCACGAAATCGATATCACCCGAGCTTGAAACACACATCTGCTAGATATGTGTAATATCAGCCGCTAGGCAAATCATCTGTGCTCCGTTCGCCCAAGGCTGAGAGTGTGGTAGGAGCTATGCTCACGCCAGAACAATCAACCACTCTAATGAACCGTGGCTACGAGCGAGGGCGCCATCACAGGGCTAAAGATGGACGCGTGGTTCTTTCAACGAGCACGTTTTTTCCACGTAACTTTCATTATAGAAATACAAATGCATATCCGTTCAAAATAAATTGTCGCAATAACAATTGATATGTATAGTATTCATTGCGTGTATTAGGGCAAAACAAATTAAATTTGTAGTTCATAAACGATATTTCACCAAAGATTGACTATATATAAAGGGCACTTGCACTCGAGGTAATTCCTTTATGAGGTCATCGTCGACCATGGCGCACATCAGAGAATGAACGCAAATTAAAACCCAGCAATGTACCTACCTTAAATTCGCTAATTGTAGTATTTAAATGTTTGCCTCGTGCGAACATTCCTCTTAAAGGTGTGTTGCCTATCGTTCAAATGTCACCTGTCAATTCTTAGACGTAAAACAACACTGAATTCTTATTTGCGAGATTCAATGGCGGAAGTTGGGAAGTCTATACACCAACACAGTGTTTCCAAACAAGGCGGCTTTGCACACACCAAGTGTTGGCACTGCGCGTGCGCGGAAACCGAATTCGGAAAGAGTGAAGCATCCGCACATGCGCAGTACCAACAGCAGCGCCCCCTCAGTATCGTGACGTCAGTAAGTTGAGTTCGTCTATACTCTGTTTCACGTTAAGACTGACCGCAGCCAACGCTACCATCCGATGGAACCAACCAAGTAGGCCCAAAAGCAGATAATCATGGCGATGGCGCTCGTCGTCCATGCGCGTCCCCTATCAACTGCTAAACGAGTCACGTACAGTGAACACGGAGTGATCCTTTTTACTGTGCGTGATTGGTTCACCCAATGATAGAAAACAAACAAAGATGAGGACTCTTCATAGTTATCGCTTCCCCGCGAAATTTTGAACTGTGTGTAAAACGAATGATAGAAGCTTGTAGTTATCGCATCCTAAAAAACCGTCAAAGTTGAGCCAGACATTCATCTTATTTACATTAACAAGAGTACGATGCATCCTAATACTTGAGAAGTCATGGTGGGCGTTTCGCCAATTGTGGAATGTTTACCACAACGACGTTTTTGGTCGCGCACTTCGCTAATAGAGCTTTCAGGTAATATGTGTTGCGCCCATTGTCTGCTTTACGCATTCTGACGTTCAGGTGTACGTTAAGTGAAATTATCCAAGAAGCGAAGGCTAAATTGACGGTTTAACAGTTCGTGATGTCAGAACCAAGAGAAGGCAGAAGCAAAGTAAAACAGAGTATATGATGACCTCCTGTTACGTTCGCTTTATTTTGTTGTGTATTCTGAGCTCCTAAAGATAAGAAAGAATAAATCTTTCTGCTACCAGGATATACGAAGTGTTCGAGCCGGCACCCGAGCGTACATTCGAAAAGCCCCACAATTCTCCTCCTTGCAAGGTCTCGCGCGATTTTAAGAGAACCCAAAATAACACTATAAATTCGAACCCGGCGAAGATTATTAGAGATGCTATTATTGTTTTACAGATTAGAACTAATACGTAAAGAAACACGAAGTCTTGGTAGCAATGCTTTATGTAATAGAAACTTTTTTTTTTTTTTTTTTAGAGCACAGCTCTTAGGCGTTTGTTTCTGGCTTGAGCGCCGTCGCCTTCAGAGTCACCGTCGGCGTAACCGGGCGTTACATTAAGGGACTGTCACACTGGGGCAACAGTTGGACAACTCTCTCCGGCAACACGAGGAAGTCGTGTTGCCGGCGACCCTGTCATATTGCGACAGCAACAACAGTCGGGCAACATGTTGCTGCCGCCAGGCAACCGTGTTGTCCGATTTCTTGTCCGACAACCCTGTCACACCGCGCTGAAGGCGGGGACAACGACTGGGCGACCAAATCACACCGCGTTTCCCAACGGGAGCTCACGGGCCAAGAAATATCACGTGAGCGGCTTAAAGGGACCGAGTGTTCCTGCCTAGGCGCCGCCCTAGCTCAACAACAAAAGCGCGGCGGCCGCTATGGAAGGGAATGGGAGCGTGTGGAAATAATGTTGGTTTCAGATGATTTTGTTGCCTTTAATAGGCAGGTGCTAATGCTAGCACATAGTGTGTACAGAATATGCTAAAATGAGACACTATATTATAGTTTTCTCGAGCAGAATAGTTAGTATTGTGAGCTAAGCAGTAGTAGGGTATACGAGTGTACAGGATGGTATATCCAGTCCGCCTGCTGGAGCCCACCTCCGTGATCGGAATAAAAAAATCGAGCTAGATGCTCCGCAAGTGGGCCATGACGCTCTTCGGGAATGTTCGAAGTGAGACACTGTCGATTGGTGCTAAACTGGTGATTGCCAGGGGGGGGGGGGGGGGGGGGTGAAAAGTTGCACTGCACAGGGTGCGAGGGGGCTGTAGTGACTAAGCGTATGGTTTAAAAGGGGCTGCAGTCCACTAGTGCGAGTACGCCGCAGGGAGGAGGCAAAAGGAAGCGAGGAGTCCGCTAGCAGAAAAGTGGCTAGGAGCGGCGTGGTCGCTACTTGACGTCGATGTTGAAGCAGGTCCCTGCCGACTGAACGGAGGAGGTGCAGTGCTCGATAGGATGGTGTTCGGAGGCCAAGTTGGCACCTCATATTAAGGAAGGAAGCGCGACGTTGCACCGACTCGAGGGAGGCAACAAGTCGCCTGGTTGCCGAATCCCATACCGAGCAGCAAAACTGCAGAATGGCAACACCAATGCTGTGAACAGCAATCTGGGCACATCGGGACTGGCTCTTCTTGTGGACCGAATGACGGAGCCAACGAGTCACCTCTCCCCGGACACCACATCTTCGACATAGCGATGGAAATCGAAATGCTGGTGGATGATGACACCTAGGAGGTGGATATGCGTTGTTCTTGGGATCTCCAGTCGGCTCAGGAAAAGTGTTGGAGGGGTCGAAGTTTGGGGCTAGGCAGTGATGCGCATGGCAGCGCATTTTGTTTTAAGTTTAGGGGAAGTTTTTTTTTTTTTTTTTTTTTTATCTTTTGACTAGAGCAGAATGCGATCTAGATCAGATTGTAGCTCTTTATCGAACGTACAATCGCAATAACGATGAGAAAAGTTCTTAAAATGCAGCTTATTATCCTCAAAACGTCGCCGGTCGTAGAGCAGGCACACACAAATACACAGCGAAAGCGTCCGCTAGTGTGTTGAGCTACAGCGCCAGAAAAGGCGGCGGTGGTCCAGCGAACTAGAAAAAAGTACTAAATAAACAAAAGCAAATGCGGCGTGCTCGCGGGGGAACACTCCGCCATCTTCATTGTTTACCTTCGTTCGTGTGCGGTGCGGCATCGCTGGAAATGTGTCTCTGCAAAAATGTAGTGCGTTCGAAGGGTCAAAAATTACGACGGGACGACATCAACCAGTGACAGTGATTAGAAAACTTGACACCGGGCAGTATTTTCCACTCTTTATTTTATCAAAATGTTATTCAACCGCTGGCAAAGCAGATAGCCCTAACCGAATAAAGTGAGATCGCTGATATATGTTCGGGATTTACGCCACCCGGTATGAAGTGCTTTTGTCCGGTTCTTTCTTTCATGCAATTCATATTTTTAATGTAAAATTCAGTAAGCACCGGCAGTACCCCGAAGCGTCTTTTGTAGCGTGGTGTTCAGCTCAACTGACAGCGTTTCAAAACTGTGACACCGACACCATCGGCCTTCATAACAAATGGTGGAATAAAACTTTTCAACGTCTTTACCTACCACCTGCTTTGTGATTGCTTCAATCCCCAAAACGTCCTGGGTATTTTTGAAACAAATCAGGTGTATGGTAGAGGCTGCTTCCAAGCTCCAAGCATCAACAATCATGATCAGAGAGGTCGCTTTTTGACGCTTCGATTTTTTAATCTTCGCTTTCCTGGATTATTTTTATTATACTTTGTCAGCGGGTGAGTAGGCATGCCATTTAATTTCACTACCAGTAATGTGAACTGATTTTGACTGTTCTAATTTCAACACAAGTCTGAACGTTCATGACCCTAGCTGTGAACATTTCGAAAATCGCTTTCCGTAATTACACAGTAAATACATTAATAAAAATATTTTTGCTGCATGCCAGCCTTAATTATTATTAACTGACGTTGTCCAAGACTTTATTTGAGTAAGACGTTATTGATAGGTAACTAGCTCTGCTATCGAAGCTATCTGTATTGTCGTGTTGCCCATAGAGTTACTATAATGTACGCTAGAGGTTCAACTGGCGCTAGTGTCTCTGCGACTTCCGTGATTCAAATTGAAGCAGACAGCAACCGTCTACTTTTGCGGTGCTTCTGTGCATTCCTATGGGAAAACGCGCGTGCATTTTGTCTCTTCGACGGAAAATAACACAGAACGCTTTGGTTATTGGGGTCGTGGCGAATAGTATGTACCTTGATTAAGATTGTAAAAGTGTAATTGCTTTAGTTAGGGAATTTTTCTTCATCGGTGAACGATGTTTAATTTCGCTACATTTCAGTCCCAAACATGTGTTCTGCAGCAGGTGTGTAAAAACAAGCGACGATTCAAAGGGAAATTACAATCGAAAGGAATATAGAGTGTTCAAGGCTTGCCAGCATTCCCGTGACGCTTATATATTGATAATATGCCACTCCTCTCACTGTATGAAAATGACCCTGTCGTGCATGAGCGGATAAAAACGTTCAAAACATAAAGAATAAAGTACATGGACTGTGAAAGGTGTTTCTTTGCGTATTGTTTTCTCTGCAGGGCACCTTTTATCGGGCTCTTGGTCTCAAAGATTTTGAGCGTGCGGGTGATATTTTCAACATAGAACGAGCATCT